ATTAAGGCTTTGTTGTTGTTGTTGTTGTTGGTGTATGCTATAAATTTAACACATAGGGAAATTTCAAACATATACACACTTTTATGCATCTAACACACACCTTATTCTATTCCACATGTAATATTTTCTTCATTTCTATAGGTTGTAAAAATTCATTTTAGGAGTGGCTAAAAATCATTGCCTCTCTATTATATAGTTATGTTTCTATGTTTTAATACTTTTGATAGTAGACAAGCCTTTTTTATTCAATTTAGTAGGAGTGGGTATGTCATTTTTTTTTTTTTTCCTAGTTATATTAATGGTACTAAATTGTTATGATGATGCTTAATTTGATTGCTTGGAGACATCAATCACCATCTCATTTGACTAAAATGGGATTTAGATTTATTGAGGTTGATATTTTTCTTCTTTGAAGCTCGGTATAGTATGAATTTGTTATTTCATCTTTAAAAAAAGAATAATCTAAGTACTAAGGAAGATACTGGAGTTGACTGTTCTATAGTTTTTTGGAAACTTTTTTATCATATCCGTTGACACTATATAGTTAATGGTTTATTACATCACCTCATTAATTGAAAAATGCTTTTGTTCTTTTATTCTTATTTTATGATTTTGTTTACTTGATTTTCATTTTGTTGTACATTCTTGAAAGGGCTGACTATAACAAATAAATAATCAAATTAGTTTATGTTTGCCACAAGGTTTGAGTGTTTTCCTATTCTGCGTGGCTGTTCTTGTTCGCATAAAATGGCTGAATGATCTGTTGCTTTAATTTTGAGAAATCTTAACTAATCTTTATCGTATTTTAGATTCCTAAACTTTCTAGTTTTTTTTTTTAAAGCTTTCTTATTTCATTTATTTATTTAACTTCAAGCGTGATGCTTTGTAAGTTGTAGTACTTTTTGATTTTATATTTGTATCCATTTAACGATTTCTTCTTCTATTTTATGCAGGTGATTGTCATCTTTAGTGAAGATTTGCACCGGAAATAGACTATCAACCAATTTAATATTTCTGCTGGAGAAAATTTTGATTTTGATCGAAGATTTGCACCGGAAATAGACTATCAACCAATTTTAATATTTCTGTTGGAGAAAATTTTGATTTTGATCTTTTTTTCTGGAGTTCCATGGTAAATAATACTTATTTCTTCTTGGTACTGATTGTTGCCAAGCTTTATATAGAAGCCCATTTTTTTAATGGGGCTAAAAGCTGCCTACGTTGTGCTAGCAGTTTCCATTATATATTAACAAAACAAATTTCTAGAATTTGCAAAAAGAATTTTCCCCGAGTATATGTATTGTTCTTTCTGTTCAGGCAGCCAACAAAAGCTTTCAACCTAACGTCATCAAACAACTTTCCAAGGAACTAAAGAATCTCAATGATTCTCCGCCTGAAGGCATTACTGTCGTTGTGAATGATGATGATTTCTCTACCATATTTGCTGATATAAAGGGTCCTGGTTGGTGAAACATTAAATTAATTGATGATTTTGCTTTTTATATTAAGCGGAGCGGCATGATACAAGTCCTTACTGTAACATTTTGAATGTTGCAGCTGGAACTCCATATGAGAATGGGATATTCCGCATGAAGCTGCTATTGTCTAATGACTTCCCTCAATCCCCTCCCAAAGGTTTAATCATCTGAATGAATGAATTGTTCTGCTGAATTTCCATGCACTTCACCCTTAATTCTCTACTCTTTTCTTCACAGGCTACTTCATAACAAAAATATTCCATCCAAATATTGCAACAAATGGTGAGATTTGTGTCAACACGCTGAAGAAGGATTGGAATCCAAGCCTTGGATTACGCCATGTTTTCACTGTAAGATCATTCTACTTTAAAGGATAAATTATTACATACGGAGCACGTATGCAGCACTGCGTGCGTACTTAGGTAATATGCCGCCATTTGTGCTGTATCGAGCCCATCTCCTGCGGAGATTGTTGAAGTGGAGGAAACGTGGAGGTTATCGGGAGAGTAATTGGGGAGTTATTGAAGCATTAATTTTAATAACGTCGCAATAACTTCTCAATAACCTCCCAATAACTTTCGTTATTACACTCTGAAGCATTAATTCTGATAACGACGCAATAACTTCTCAATAACCTATCAATAAACCTCTGCAATAATCTCATAATAACATCCCACCCCCCCCCCCCCCCCCCCCTTGCATAACCCCCGCAATAAAATAACCTCATAATAACACCCCAATAACCCCTCAATAATTTTTGCGGTTTCACCTCAATAACCTCGCAATAAGCTCCACGTGGCGGCATATTATTGGAAGTCTGCAAGCAAAGTTGCATACGTGCTCTGTATGAAATTTTCTCACTTTAAAGGCTGGCTTCTACGTGCAAGTAAAACAAAACGTTTTTTAAATATATTATGACCTGAAAATGGTTGATGACAGGTAATCAGATGCTTGTTAATAGAGCCATTCCCTGAATCTGCGCTGAACGAACAGGCTGGTAAGATGCTGCTTGAAGACTACGATGAATATGCTAGGCTTGCCAGGTATATTATTCATGATTACTTCTGAATTTTTAAGAACAGAGGTAAAAAACAACTAATATTTTCGAGTTACAGATTATACACTGGCATTCATGCTCTTAAGGCGAAACCAAAACCAAAGACAGGAGCAATTTGTGAATCTACTAGTGCTCTGAATGTGGATCAAACAAATACAGTTCATGGTGATAAAGCATCATTTCCGCCCACACCTCTTAATAATGCTCCCTTACCCTCCAAGATATTAGGAATGGCTTCCCAGGACCAAAATGTGATTCCTCCTGCTCCGGCAGCAAAGCCTGTGGAAGCTCCAGTAGCTCAGAAGAAGGAAGCAGCAGCGGCAATGGTGAAAGTCCAGGCTGATAAGAAGAAGATGGATGCCAGGAAGAAGAGTCTTAAGAGACTGTAAGGGGGGAGGGGGAGGTCAGGATCTAGGCACTTAGATTCTCTGTTTTGGAAGGGGGAGGTCAGGATCTAGGCACTTAGATTCTCTGTTCTGGAACAGTATTGGCAGGATTAAAAGAGTGATTTTAAGGATGATGGTGTTATTAGTTGTCCTTTATGGATGAAATGTGATATTATCTTCTTATTCTCTGTTCTGGATTAGTATTAGCAGGATTAAGAGAGGGATTTTTAGGATAATTGTGTCACTTGTCCTGTGATATTATTTTCTTATTATTTGTTCTCTGATCAATGATAAATTCACTGGTTAATATTGCAGTTTTTAAAACAAATTCATTGCTGGGTGTTGTATTGTCTCCTGTTTATGAGTACATTCAGTAAAGTTCATTTTTAAACAAATTATCTTTAAAAAAAAAACTAATAGCCAGGAAAATGAAATAATTACAAAATAATCCATAATAAAACAGGCACTTAGTGATTGAAACAAAACATAAAATATGATGATTATGTTATTCAATCAATAAAATTGAATTCAAATAGTCCTATTGATATCAATGTTGTAGGGGTATTTTGGTCATTTTGTGATTTTGGGCTAGAATGGGCAAGTAAGTCGTGAAGTCATGCCAAACCAGTAGGAGCCATATAAGGATTCATTTTGGATGCTTAATATGCTAGTTCTAACCCTCTTAGCTAAAGATTAGGGGTATAGGTTCATTCATATGAGCTTTCCAAAAGAAATCATGGGACCAAATCAAGCGGTCTTAGAGTTTGGGGTATGCAAGAAAGTTTAGTGTGTGCAAGACATTTCAACTCTCACCAGACCACCCAAGGTTAGTCCTAAGGTCTGACCATCCTATGGGAGACTCCCCTTGAGTTCCCCCATATTGACCCTACCTACTAAGTACTAAAGGTTATGACCAATATGTGGAACTTCAAGTTAAGCAGAGAAGAATTTGAAATTTTTAATGGTGAAGGTTCATTTTCTAGTCTTTTAAGAATAGTCAACAAGAAAATCCTATGACTAGACCCTAAGCTACTAAAGAGGAAAAACTAGACCTCAACCAAAAATGAGGTCGACACATATAAATAGATAAGCTAATGACTCTGAGTGTTAAAAATAATGAGGAAAAACAATAATTAACATGTAAATTAAATTTTCTAAGAATATATGGGAAGAAAGATGGAGAGCTCAAGGCAAACTTGAGGAAATTGGTTATAAGGCAACCCTATAAATCTTGGTGAGAAAATTATATGTTAAATTAGGGAGAATATATTGTTATAAGATTATTATGTGATACATTGATATACAACTATATTTAAAAATTTTGACATATTATTGAATACATACATATGTTATAGAAAAGCAAACTTGAGTAGTCATTATTGATTTTACTATTTATACAACATTATTAGACATATTTATGATCTGCCTAAAGTTACACTCATATAAATAGTAGATGCATATGAGAACTAAATTTTAATAGGTAAAATGATCGAAAGAATATCACAAAAAAGATATGTATATTATTATGCTAAAGAGCTGTACATATAAAGATAACAGAGAAATTAATAGAATTCTTGACTTTTGATATTGAGATTGAAACAAACCTTTTGGAATCATGGGGGCTATTGATAATTGATGTGTTGGAAGATAATTAATACTTATTAGTAGTTGTGTAGCCAGCGGGTTGGGTCATGATCCAATAAAATGAATTAAGTTAAAATCTATGCAAATATAAGTAACATATCTTAGACAACAATTAATGAGTGCGAATAAGCAAGGATATTCATATGACTATGCGAAAAATTACATGAAATGTGTGTTGGTTATAGTTTGTTATTGTTTACTACTTTTATTATTTGTTATACATATTTCATGTAATCAAATCATTATGTTTTTGTACTATTATTTCTCATAGCATTTATGATTGAGCATGCATGTTTTTTTCATTTATAAAATCTTATGTAATTGAGAGGATTTAACAATGGTTGTTGTGCAAAGCTTTAAGATTCTTCAAAACACTTCTAATATTCATAGTAGGTCTCCTTGCAAAGCTTTAAGATTCTTCAAAACACTTCTAATATCCATAGTAGGTCTCCTATCAAATCTGAGTACATTTACAATATTAATAGTTGTCATGTAATGATGGCCCAACTATCAATAAGAAACCTCTCAATTGCCTCATCACAATTGTCTGGACCACTATCACCGTCTGACTAACATCATCAAACCACTATCAACTAATTGTCACCACTCTACTATTATAATATGATTGTTATCAATTTTTTGTCATCATCAAATTATGACCACTCAAACTTCATCGTCAAATTTTCAAGTCTTGACTATAAAAACCCAATTATGGCCACCCAATTAATATCTTCAATATATGATTGCCCAATCAATGTCTGCATATAGTTTTTTACCATTAATTCTCATTTATGGTCACTTGATTATCACCACTTAAAGATCATGTCATCTTCATCTCCCAACTATTATCAATTATTCACAATTATTAAGCACCATCACTTAATCATAGCTTTCAAACCACTGTAATCCTAGTATGGCTTCCTAATCACCATTGATTGATTATATCTTTTATGGCCATAATCACAATATTATGGTCTTCCAAATATTATTACTCGATTGTAATCTTTTGTTCGAGTTATGATTTTCCAACCACCATTACCCTTATGATTTCATGACCATCATTACATGATTGTGATCTCTTAACCATCATCATACATACTGGCTCCCAACAAGTGTTCAACCATGATCTATCGACCATCATTGTCTAATTATAGTCATCTAATTAGGGATGTTGAATCAGATTTATGGTTGGGTTTTGGTTTGACCCAAAATTGACCCAACTTGAAATTGCTCTGCCCAAGCTCGACCCAAATAATAAATTGTTAAAAAATTTCAACATGAACTCGACCAGTATAACCTATTTAAAATAAGTTATAACAACTATTTAGGTCTATTTCGTGTCAAATTCAGGCCAATTTTGAATTAATGAGTCGATATCGGGTCGTTTTCTGGTTAGTGGGTAATTTTGAGTTAGAGAATCAATCAAAAGTTGAGTTCAGCCCACTACTCGGCCCAAATAATTAAACTAGCTAGGATTCTTAGCCCGAACAGCACCCAAAAATCATTAAGTTCAACTCAAACTCAAATTTTCGAGTTAAGTTTAGGTCGAGCTGACATGTTGGGTCATTTTTTGACACTTCTAAGTGTAATCGTTTTTTTAATCAAACTATAGTCTCTCAATCACTATCATCAAAATATATTAATATTCACCAACTTTATATTCCCCACTAAGAGTAAAACATAATGTCGACCTATGTTGTCATCTCCGATAAGGTTGATGGCACCATCAATGTATGCAAGCAATTATAAAGATAGTCCATGCCATTATCATTAACATTGAAGCTCACTAATTTTGTCACTGCTGTTGCCGGTTACCTTGATAAATTCCATTATTAGTAAGACCACTTTACACTATAATTGAAATATCACGTCTAATTGAACTAAGCATGTATGGGGCTCTATTTACTCATTTATGCCCTCATCTAATTAGAGCCCAACCCTCAGGATTAAAAATGTTCTAGCGAAGCCCGTACTCGCTTGGTGTAAACACTTATCGAACTTGATGAACACAACTTTTCAAAAGAGAATAATTAACATGTTAGTTCACGTCAATTGAAATTCTTATGAAAAAATTGTATGCTGAAATCAATTGAAATTCTAAAATTTCAATCTTTAGATGTTGAAATATTCATTATTGAAATCTAGATTTTGTGTGTGTTCAGTCGAGCTACTTCCTTTCTCTATTCTCAATATTGTTCAAAATATTACTCTATTAAAAACTTCATAAAATGCATTTTGGAGTGGCTCAATCTTCATTCTTGCATCAAATCTTCATAAACTTTGCAATTGAAGTAAGGTTGATAAACATTTATATTATAGTTGAATGAATTATTTTCTAAGAAAATTTTGAGTTTTTTTTTGTAAATATATTGTAAATGCAATCTCATTTTGTATGGAGTTGAACTATACAATTGTGTGGCCCTTTCATAGAAGGTTATTTCTATGATTTGAATTCATGGTTTTTAAGTTGGAGTTTACTCATTTGATTGTTTAATGCCAAAAAATAAATTTAAAAAAAAAAGGACTATATATGGTTTTATTTATCATTTGGTTAAATCTAAGCATTGTGTCTTGAATGAAAGTAAATAATAAAAGTTCAAATATTAGATATGTAAATATATAAGAATTGTGTGGTGTTTAGGTAAATCCCATTTAAATTATTATTCATGAAAATAATTTTTATTTAAAGGCCAAATTTAAAATTTTAAATATTACACCAAATTAGTAGTTATAATAATTAGGGTCATGTTTGGAATCAATTTATATTTTCTACTTTTTATTTTAGAAAACAAAAAATAGAAAACAAATAAAAAAATAAAGTTTATTTATTCATTTTTTAAAATTTATTTTCAAAACACGTAAACCTTATTTTAAAACATAAAAAACACAAAAATTGTATTTTGTTATTTTAAAAACATGTCTTTCAGAGCATTATCTGTGTGAGGCTTCGCTTCCCACCGCGACTCCATTGCTCACTGTCGGCCACCTCTTGTTGCCCGCTGCCGCTAGCACGACGCCGCCACCCGTTACTGCCCGAGGTTCGCCGTCCCAACTGCCGGTCGACATCTGCTAAAAGCTGTCGCCGGTCCCCGCCAACTCCAAATGCCGCCCCGCTCACCCAGAGTTAATGCTTCTTACTAATTGTTGCGATAATAAATATTAGAGTACACATGAACTCAATCGTTCTATAAAAAAAATCTTTTTTAAAAAAAATAAAAAACAAGCTATCGAATATATTTTATATTTTAAAAAAAATATAAATCATAACACTATTAACTATATTTTCTAAAAATAAAAAAATAAAAAAAATGCGACTTCGTTCTTTCCTTTCATTCTATAAATAGTTCTTACTCCTCTGTTTATCGACTTATCTTAATCAAAGGGTTGAAAGAGAAATTCTTTACCGAACGAAGACTTTGAGAAGTGGTGAAAAAAATATCGGAGAGAGATGGGCGGATCTCGGATCTGGCTGGCAGCGCTAACCCTGGCTTTCTTCGCTGCTGCTTCCGTCGCCGATGATGACGTTGTCGTTCTAACGGAGGTCAACTTCGAGACCGAGGTGGGCAAGGATCGCGGCGCCCTCGTGGAGTTCTACGCTCCATGGTTCGTTCTTTTTTATCTTCTCCTACGCATCGATTACATAGTTTGTGCCTCTGTGTTTATGGGCTG